ATGCCCCTTGATGTTTTTCTATCTCTCTCCCTTTATTCTCCATTGTTACTGTTGTCTCTCCTTATTTTCTTCTCTCTTCTCTCTCTCTTGTATTGCGCAATGTATATGTACGTGATGTTAAGGACATTTATACACACACTTCTCTTTTTAGAAAATAAAATAAACAAGCTCGTCGAAACGAGCTAACAATATGAATGATTTTCTATGTAAAATCATTCAATTTATTGAATCATATAATAATCTTTTTCTTTTCTATTTTAGAATGATTGCAACAACATGATATGGAACAATTCAACATCGAACAAGACCATAAAATAAAATGTAGGTATTAGTTTTAATTTTCTTTTTTTTCTTTTATATCATATGGAGAATGGTAAGTACTCCTTTTATCTATTTTTTTAAAATTTTAGTCATTCAACAGTGAAGAAAAAGATAATACAGTGTAAGTCATTCGTTTCTGTTCTATACATATGTCATTAATTAATTTTTTTTTCTTTTCCTTTTAGACGTCATCGTTCAATATCAAATTGGGTGAGTTCTGCCCATTGAGGTTAGGTTCGCGTTATATGAAGGACTTCCGGATAGTCCCTAAAAGCCCAGCCAGGAACTTCTTTGGTGTCCATGGCACACGACTGGGCCCCCAGACTCACTGACACGTGACATCGGATGGGTGACGTGGGTCTTCCCACGCCTGCATGAGCCTTACGCTCGCCACGGCTCCACCAGGGTAGTTCCTGGTCGCGCGCGCGCAAATAGAATAAGCATTCATTTCATCAATTCAACGCGAATTTATTTGAAAAGAAAGAAAAAAATCCATCGTTATGAATTCATTCGATTGAAAAACGTTGAACACGGGCATTCAAAAAATCGACGACATAGAGATTGCCTTGTCGATCGAAGGACAAACCATAAGGATAGTTGAACTGATTTGCTCCTTCTCCGTAACCATTGCCACCCGCAATGACAGTGCCCTGTGCCGCTCCTTTAGGCCAACGCATCACTTGATGATTCACCGAATCTGCTACATAGATGGTACCCAACGTATCGACGAACATTCCTGTAGGATAATACAATTGTGTCACAGCATTCCCATAGCCGTGACCTCCAGCGACGACAATTCCTTCTTTTGCACCTTTATTCCATTTCATCACACGATGATTGTTGTGGTCTGACACGTAGACAGTCTGCTGTTGATCGACAAAGATGTAGGTCGGAACATTGAGTTGATTGAGACCATNATAACATATTTTTACAATAAAATAAAACAATTTACCTTCGTAGTTGTTTAAGATGAACAACACATACTTGAATATCGTGTGTGTTCGTCTGCTTTGTGTTCACAAATGAACATGATCGAGAAAAAATAATGAGAAAAAAAGGTGAAGAGAATTCTTTTTCTTTCCTTTCTCTCGTCCAAAATTTATCGTTCATGTTATCATTGATGATCAATGATAATATGACATAATTAATGTCCTTTTACCGTATAAATATGAATGATTTTCTATGTAAAATCATTCAATTTATTGAATCATATAATAATCTTTTTCTTTTTATATTTCAGAATATCTTCAACAACATGATATGGAATAATTCAACATCGAACAAGACCATAAAATAAAATGTAGGTATTAGTTTTAATTTTTTTTTCTTTTTTATATCATGTGAAGGATGGTAAGTCCTTCTATGATTTTTTTTAATAATTCATTTTTTTTCTTTTCCTTTTAGTCGTCAATATCATCGCATCACGTGATCGTTAACAGGGTGAGTTACTTTCTTTTTCGTTTTTTGAGTTTGAGAATAGAGGGTGACTTCTGTCCGTTGAGGTTAGGTTCGCGTTATATGAAGGACTTCCGGGTAGTCCCTAAAAGCCCGGCCAGGAACTGCTTTGGTGTCCGTGGCACACGACTGGGCCCCCAGGCTCACTGACACATGACATCGGATGGGTGGATGTGGATGATGTGGGTCTTCCCACGCGTGCATGAGCCTTACGCTCGCCACGGCTCCACCAGGGTAGTTCCTGGTCGCGCGCGCGCGCGCGAATAGAATAAGCATTGTTTTCATCGATTCCACGTGAATTTATTTGAAAGGGAAGAAAAAATTCGTCGTGTTGAGTTCACTCGATTGAAAATCGTTGGACACGAGCATTGTCCCGATCGACGACATAGAGATTGCCTTGTCGATCGAAGGACAAACCACCGAGATATTTGAACTGATTTGCTCCTTCTCCTTTACCATTTCCACCCACAATGACAGTGCCTTGTTTCGCTCCTTTAGGCCAACGCATCACTCGATGATTCCCCGAATCTGCCACATAGATGGTACCCGACATATCGACGAACAGTCCTTGAGGATACGACAATTGTGTCAGACCATTCCCTTCGCCTTGACCTTCAGCGACGACAATTCCTTCTTTTGCACCTTTATTCCATTTCATCACACGATGATTCTCGTTGTCTGACACGTAGACAGTCTGTTGTTGATCGACAAAGATGTAGGCCGGCAAGTCGAGTTGATTGAGACCAGCACCTTTGCCATTGCCACCAGCCACGAGAGTTCCATTCTTGTCTCCTATTTGGTATCGTCTTACTTCATCTTTCTTGTAGTCAGAGATGTAGAGATATCTCTGATCATCCATGGCCAATCCCCAAGGATCGACATTGTCGATGAGGATTTCTCCTTGAGTTGTGCCACTACGACGAGACCATCGTACGACTCGTCGATTCTCATTATCTGCGATAATGAGACTATCAGTCTCTTTGTCGATCAGCACATCATTTGGATATTTCAATTGATCCAATCGTCTTCCTGTGCCATTGTCACCAGCTACCACTTGTCCATTCGTATCACCCGTCTTCCATTGGATGATCCGATGATTCAAGCAGTCAGCGATGACAATTGTTTGATCATCATCAACGAAGAGACCTCGAGGCCAGTGGAGTTGATTTGTGGCACTACCATATCCGTGACCTCCAGCAACGGTCACACCATTCTGTGCCCATCGGGCATTGGCTGGAATATTGGGGATAACTACAGTGAACGAGAAAAAGAATCGTTAGCGTCGTTATCTATGAATAACAAATTCTTCTTCGAAGGAAAATTGTTAAAACTTTCGAAAATGTCTTTCTCTAACATGCTCTAAACAAGCGAAAGGTTCTCGTAGTTTCAAAGGCAACAAAAAAAAGAACTTGGCAACGATTCTTATGAGAATCCTTTGAGATTCCTGGAAAGAATTCTTTTTGGAGAGAAGAAGAATTTCTGAAATACTGAGAAGATTCTATTTGAAACGTATAAGAAGTTGTTGTAGGACTTAGCATACTTAAAAATGTTGAGAGAGGGCTGGCATAGATCCAGAAAATGTCCACTTTAGCAAAAGTCTGCTGGAGAATAAAGAGACTTTATTACTCGGACAAAATATTATTAAATTTAACGAAAAGTAATATTATCTATCCACGTCCTACCTCTTAGCGCACGTTTCGCTTAATTTAGCGGACTTTTCCTTTTAATTACCGGACTATTGTGATACTTTACTATTCATATGCATCACTTTTCTATCATCAACGGACTTTTGTCTTTTCTATTGATGACTATTACTTCTTAGTCAAAGGACATTCGACCTGTCCATTCGTGACGGAATCACGTTTTTTAAGATTGTGCCTTGAA